GTAGTCATAGAAGTTCAAAAAATAGTGGCTTAACCATATGAAGGGTCTATTTCCTTCTCATATGAAAGATGGCTGGAGGTTGGAAATGTGGGACTAGAATGGCAGTTCCCTAATGTCCACAGTCCCCAGTCCCCTCTTTCCTTTCTGGCTAGCCACTCTTGCCGGTTGCTTCCATCACAAGGTTTCTTCATGGGTGCTATGTGCTTGCTGTAGCTGGAGCCAGAATATATGTGCTCTAGGCAAGGAAGAAGGAGGAAAAAAGAGTTCTGTGTGATACAGGCAGAATAATGGCTCCCCGCAAATGTCCATTTCCTAATACCTGGAACAGGTAAATATATTATGTTACATGGCAAAGGTGATTAAGACTGCAAATGGAATTCAGATTGCTAATCAGCTAACCTTAAAATAAGATTACCGTGGGTTATCAGGCGGGCACAAAGGCCCTTTTCTAGTTGAAGGAGAGGAGAGGCAGAGAGAGAGATGTGACCATGGAAGAATGGCCAGAGAGATGCAATGCAGCTGGCTTTGAAGACAGAAGAGGAACTATGACCAAGGAATGCGGACCTTTAGAAACTGAAAAGGCAAGAAAATGAATCTATCCCTAGGGTCCCCAAAAGGCACAGTCATGCCAAAACCTTGATTTTAGCCCATAAAACCAACATCAGATTTCTAACTTACAAAAGGGTAAGATAATAAAGTCATGTTGCGTTAAGCCACCAAGTTTGTGGTAATTAGTTACAGCAGGAAATAGAAACCTAATAGAGCATGTCATCCTTGAAAGCTGTAACTATTCAGTGACTCCCATTTAACTTTCATTAATAAGAACTATGTCACATGATGACTCCTAGTTACAAAAGAGGTTGGAAAATGTAGAGGCTTTCCTTTTGTTTGTAAGTTTTATTCCAAATAAAATTGAGGTTTGGTTAGTAAAACAGAATGGGAAAAGGAATATTAGGTCAGGCTTTGATCAGAGAAGAAAGAACACTATGAATTATGTAGAAAAAAAAGACTTATCATTGGGGCTAGAACTTACAGATCTGTGGTAGTGGGTGGAACAGCCCATATGAGCGTCTAGTATCGAGATTTAAGTCAGCCAGACTGGATGCGAGGAAGAATAAAATGGATGAGGATGAGAGCAGGAATAAACTGGAACCAGCAAGGATGACCTGGGACTTGTAAGGATGACTAGAACCTGTGTATATTTCTCATACCTCCAACCTCAATGCTCTGGGGGACCTATAAGAGAAGCTGGCCCCTTTATCACAGAGCTTCAGGTGCACTTGGCCCAGGACTCACAGAAGCTGAAGGAGGGAGCTGCAGAATCAGGGTTATGGCTCCACACCAATATGGGATGTGTTTCCATTTGTATCTTCTTTAATTTCTTTCAGCAGTGTTTTGCAGTTTTGATTGTACAAGTCTTTCACTTCCTTGGCTAAGTTAATTCCTAAGTATTTTATTCTTTTTTGATGCTACTGTAAATGGAATTGTTTTCTAGATTTCCTTTCAGATTGTTTACTGTCAGTATAGAAATGCAATTGATTTTTGTGGCTTACTCTGTATTCTTGCCATATTGCTGAATTCATTTATTAGTTCTAACAGGTGTGTGTGTGTGTGTATAATCTTTAGAATTTTCTACATGTAAGATCATGTCATCTGTGAATAGAGATTATTTCACATCTTCCTTCCCAATTTGGGTGCCTTTTATTTCTCTTTCTTGCTTAATTGCTCAGGCTAGAACTTGTAGTACTATGTGGAATAGAAGTGGTAAAAACAAGCATCCTTGCTTTGTTCCTGATCTTAGAGAAAGCTTTGTCTTCATCATTGAGTACAGTGTTTGCTGTGGGTTTTTCATTAATGGCTTTTATTACGTTGAATGTTTTTATCATGAAAGGGTGTTGAATTTTGTCAAATGCTTTTTCTGCATCAATTAAGCTGATCATGTGGGTTTTTTCCTTCATTCTGTTAATGTGGTGTATTACATTGATCAATTTCCATATGTTGAACCGTCTTTGCATTCCAGGATAATGCTTGCTTGGTATTGGTGTGTAATCAAGTTTATATGCTGCTGAATTTGGTTTGCTAGTACTATTGACCCTTGAACAGCATGGGGTTAGGAGTGCTAATCTCTCACATAGTCAAAAATCTGCATATATTTTGACTCCCCCAAAACTTAACTACTAATATCCTACTGTTGACCAAAAGGCTTACTAATAGCATAAAGAGTTGATTACCATATACTTTGTATGTCAGATGTATTATATATTAGATGTATATGTATTACTAGTACATGTATAACATATACTACATGTATAAGTTATATGTATTATAAATAAATGTATATAAAAAGTCATATGGTACATAATATGTACCATAAATAAGCTAGAGAAAAGAAAATGTTATTAAGAAAATCGTAAGTGAAAATATCTTTACAGTACTGTACTGTATTTATTGAAAAAAAAATCCACATATAAGCGGACCCATGCAGTTCAAACCCATTTGTTCAACAGTCAACTATGTATATCCAGTCTAAAGATAACAAGAAGTGCAAATAAAACTTGTCTATTGAGTAGGTTTTTCACAGTTGTGTGGGTTAGTATATTTGACCTCACTTTCTATGCATGATAGGACTGAGCAAACGAGTAAATGTACTGATGTTGTTTCTTACTTTTGGAAAAGAAAATTACAAATGTGGAAATGGGGAAGATTAGAACAACCTCTGTGATGTATTGAATTGAGATATCAGTATAAATTATAAATTGATTTTTTGTAACTAGGTAATAGACATAGCTGCAGCATCTACAAGTAGAGAAATAAATATGGGATCTTAATATCTACATCCATAACCATATATTTCCTAGCTCTGTCCACTGAAAGGATTATAAACAGTGGTGTTTTGTTATCAATGAGCACACCTAGCAGCCATATGGGTATCTTTTGGTCTAGTAGATCATGAACTCCACTAAGACAGGGACTGACTTAGGCACCACTTTACCTTTCAGCCTTAATTTGGATTTTGTGCATACAAGAATCTTTATAAAATTAAACTGTTTATAGGCACTCAGCTGGTAAATTTCTGAGCCAGATTATAATTACCTGAAAACCAGCCTTCTCTGTCTAGCCTAAGCTGGTGACAACCTATCATCTAATGTTGTCACCACCCCTCTGTCTCTGCTAACAGGTACAAATCAGCAGCAGTGGTTGCCAGCATCATCAGACACTCCTGCCCTGTCACCCTCCGGTCCCACCCAAGGGGTTGGTGGGCTGGATCTATCACAACCTCCAGATGGGGTGCAGCACACCTCAAGCCCCACACTTTCCAACAGCTGTGGCATGAACAGTACCTTCTCAACATCTTGTTCCTGCCGGTGGTCATCCTGGGCAATGTGTGGCTCTGTGGGAAGCTACTGAGTGTGGTGGTCAGCTGGCTGTGTGGGGCCAGGAAATGGAAGAAGACCTGATGCCAAGTGTAGCCTTAGGAGACAAAGTATGGGGGGGGTTACCATTTCTTATGAAATTCCCACCAATTCTGGCAATTCCTGTTCCCCACATCATATCCATTTGCTAATTTTGTTGCAAATTCCTGCACATTGGCTTCTTCCTAAAATTGGAATTCTTTATTCAGCCCTTATGGCCTTCTTTATTTGCCAGTCAGCAAGGGCTGTTCTGTGATTTTGTCCCAGGGTAATTTGGAACAGTGACCCTCATATTTTAAGCCTCGAAGCCACTTTCCTTGTCATGCCCCTCTTCGAAGCACTGAGGCTGAACCATTCCAGCCTCCATGTCCAGTATCTTCTCAGCCTGTTTCCCTCTCTCCTGCCTCTACCCCTTGGAATCACACCTAAAACGGGTACTTTACAAATCCTTTCATTTTCTATTTGCCTTTCTGTAAACTCTTGTCAAAGCTCAGAAAGCTATATAATATAGCTTTCAAAGAAATATAGCTCTTTGATCAGGAAAGTAAAAATTTTCACAGAATTATCCTCCCCTGCCCCTTGGAAAAGAGACCCTGTCCTCATTGCCCAGAATTCTGTTACCTGTAACAGGCTGTGAGGGAAGCTGCACTGAAAACCTTTACAAGAGGTTTGCTTTGAGGATAGAGAATGTAAAGATGCCTCCTGGGGTCTCCATGCCCCGGCCTTGCCAGGGCTGACATTACAAAGAGGCAGAATTACAAGATGTCTTCAGTTTGGTGCCTGAGGAGACTGTGGTAAGATTCCCAGTCCTATTTTATAATTCTCATTCAGAATTATAGTCTCAGCTTTAGAGGTTCAAACCTCCAGGTAAAGACTTGGACTTCTGGAGTTAGGACTCTAGCACTTCTTCATGAATAAATGACCTCCTTAAGAGGTCTTCAGAAAGACCTCTTCAGAAAGACACAATCCAGGAATGGCAGGTCGACTTCTCTTGCGGGTTTGCTTCTAGAGAGTAGACACAGGCTCCTCCCAGGGAGTAGACACTACTTCCAGGGAGTAGCGTCTCAGAGATTTTAAGCAAATATCTAGGGAAATAGAGCATGCGGATGACAGTATGAGGTCAACAGAGCAGTTAGGAGGTGGGAAAATTCGTGGAAAGGCCCCTAACATGGGGATGGGTGTGGGTCACCTGGAGGTGGAACTATCTTAGAAGCATCTTCCTAAGGTCCCTGCATTCCTGGTTCAGAGTACCTTCTCTGCGGAGAGTGTGGTGATCACACGGACAGACAGGGGTTAAGGAGAGCTCACTAACCCCTCCTTCCCGATGTCTGGGGTTAGGGAGGGTGAGGACAAATTAGCCAGTGGAGCAAGCACCCTGGGAGGTGGAGCAGAAAGGCAAGAAACCGCAAACGGAAGAGAACACAGGCGGGGTCCATCTCTCACGTCTTCCCAATCCGCCCGCCAGCGCATTTCCTTGGCTCCGAGCGGAGCGTGTCCCCAGGGCGCACAGGTCGCTGTGCTGTGCGAGGCGCGGGGCGCAGGGCTCAGCGCACTGGGCTGGGCTCCCCGGCCCACAGCAGAGCGAGCATGGCGGGGCAGCGGGCGCTACTGCTCGCTGGCTTCCTTCTGCCTGGGTTCCTGCTCTCAGAGGCCGCCAAAATTCTAACTCTGTCTTTGGTGGGTGAGTGCTTGGCGGGAGAATCAGGCGCGTCCGAGACACCCGCGGGAAAGCTCAAATAGCTCTGGGTCAGAGGGTCACTCCAGGTGGTTTTCCAGACTGGGCTTGGGTCCCAGACTAGAGGGGGGAGAGGCAGGAGGGGCTTGTGGGGGAATGAGGGGCCCCTACCACCGAGAGGTGAAGAAACTTCCTGAGAAAATAGAATACTTTTTCCTCTCTCTTCCTACTCAGATTTGCTCTCCTAGGCGCGGGAAATGGGTCCAGAAGTTTGAGATCCCTCCCAGTGCTGGAGACCCGGGGCTGCCTCCTCCAGGGAGCGGGCTGCAAATTCAGAGGCTCACCCTAAACTTCTGGGTGGCGCGCAGCCATTGCCAGTAGAGACTGTGGGAGCGTGTGCAGGCTCTTGGAGGCCAGGGAAAGGAGCTTATGGGGGGCAGAAGCACTAATTTTCTGACAAGTGAGCCAAGGTGGAGCAGGGAAGGTATTTCAATGACACCTAAGAGGGTGGAGTGCTTTCCATCCCGCGGAAACTTGGAGAAATGGCCAGGGCTGGGGACTGGACCTTGGACATTCAGGTCTCGCCAATGCCCACTCTTTTCACTGGTGCTGCTGGAAGTGTTTGAAGGATTCGGGGACTGTTAATTCTGCATTTTGTGGCCCCAGTTTTACTTCCTTTACTTTTGCACCAAAGGGAATAGGAGATGAAAAGGAAAAGAGATAAAGGGAAAAGGATCAGGATAAGGGGTCATCATAAGATGGAGCTTTCCCAAGATTGTATTTCCACCCACAGTGGGCTCTTTTAGGTCACTTACTGTGTATAGATCACTGGGAATCGGGGAAACCTTAGAGCTGGAAAGAACCATAAATAATTGCATTTAGCCCCCACAGTGTTTTCCTGAGCAGGAAACCAAGGGTCAGGACATCAGGCACCTTTTGTCAGAGCACACCAGGCCTCCCTAATGGTACACATAAGGAATTTAGTTGGGGTTTCTTATCCCAAGACCAGCCTGTCCACAACTTCCAGTCTCACGCACTTTTCAGTGGGGATTAAAAAAAAAAAAAATACTCTTTAAGAAACCCCGTAACTCCTTTTGAACTCTTTTTTTTTTTTGTCCCGTTTTGATTGTTAGTAGCGTCCATACGAAAGAGCTCCCTCACCTTCAAAGCGTGTGTCCTTTAGACTCTGAGAGGGAAAGGGTGTGGTTTGGAGGCGTTGGAAGCTCTGGCCCAGAAAGCACTGGGCTCACCAAGACCCTCAGGAATGGCCGCGTCTGCGGGCTGGCATCTCCCTTGTATCCTTTTCTTCCAAGGGTTAAATGTGAAGCCAGAACAGGCAGTCTGAGGGGGTAGGAGTTTGTGTTTTATATAATCTGTGTTACCTCAGGCAACACAAGCACAGATTTTAAAAACTAGGGTAATTTCCGGTAATTTCCACAGATACACACCATTACAGTAGTCCAACATCCCTCTCTGCTGACCCAGCCATCACGGGACTTGCATCTTCCAAACAGCTCCCACTTCCCAACTTGGGCAAATTCTATTCCTTCCCTCCTGGTCTGACTTTCTCTGCTACTGAGACTCATAGATTCAACCAAATGTCCCATGATTCATATGGTTTTGGATAAGATTTAGTGTGATAGAACCTGTACCTCCCCAGATGATCAAGCTTCTGTTTCCTTAGGATCCCAGGATTTTCCTAGGATGGCTGATGCCCCAGTCTCTCATGCATACAGGATCCTGTAATTCCACCTCAAGGGCCCACAGTTATTCTGAATGCCTTAATTTGATGTTCAGCAAAATTCAGGCTCCAAACATCCGGCCAAGTACATTTGAATCTCAAGGATTTTGGCTCTAAGTGGTGGCTCACCTTCCTTCTGGTCCAATGGCTCTTTCTTGGATTGGTATTCAAGTTCCCATGTTTCTGCCTCCTACACTAGCATAGATTTCCAAAGAGTAAGATTCCAGAACAAACTCTGACTAATTGTCCATTCGGAATCCTTCACGCTCATATAGAGCACTGTGCCACACTTTACACAAGTACAGTTATTTCTTTAGAGCACAGTGTCTCCATAAGGCCTGGCTAAAATTAGCATATACTTAAGATCAGGAATTCCTTAAGGCATAAGCAGAGAAGCTCGTCACACTGATGTTTGGTCATTTTTGTGACTGGAGTCACAATGAGGATCTGATGGAGGTTTGCCAAAGTCAAGATTGAAGCCCCTGGGCCCTGAGTGAGTGGCTGGGGCTTACCCAAATGGAGATGAAGCTCATCTTCCTCTACTCACCATCAGCTTTCTGTCGGCTAATTCTCATCTCCTGGATCTCTTAACCTACCAGCTTTAGGCATTTTATTATCATCATTACAAAAGTGAAGTTGTACATTGTTCCTAGGTGGAAGCCATCATCTACTGCTGGACCGGGTGTGTCAAATTCTTCAAGATCATGGTCATAATGTCACTATGCTTCACCAGAGAGGAAATTCATTTATATCAGGTATCTTTTCTCACCTATTTTTTTTATTTCTTCTACTCTATGCAAAGTGTAGAGTAAAACAACGATACCTTTTGCTTAGAAAACTGTTTTTGAAATTTAATTGGACTGAAAGAATGAAAAGTGTGTGTGTGTGTGTGTGTGTGTGTGTGTTAATGTAAGGTGTTGGAAAACTTCTTGGCTCTATCTCCCAGCACTCCACACTCTGTAGTCCCATATTTTCCCCGCTTACCTTGCCTTCCACTTCATCCCAAGCAACCTTCCATATATTGCAGATTATTTTGGTAAATGGTACTTCATAACAGCTTGAAAACATGTGAACAGAAGTGTTCAGCTAAATATGCCATTTTCTTTTCTTATATCACAGATTCCTTTTTTAAATCATAGATCACTTTCTCCTTTTATGCTATCTAAAATCTAAGAAAGCTTTCTTAAGAAATCCCTTATTAATCCAGCTAAGATCAGAATCTATCACTGAGATGATTTTGTTTTCTAGAAAAATCAATACCTTGTCAACAGTTTGTGTATAATGATGTTGGACGTTCTTAACTGAATCACTGAATCCAATGAATTTTAGCTAAAATGAGCAAATAAATCTTATCAACTCTTTTCTGTTGACAGACAAGAAAACAGCAGCCCAGAGAACTGAAGTGGTTTGCTTAGGGTGATATGGCAGATTAATAATAGTGTTGGGGTGGCTTTAGGACTTTAAGCTCTGTATTGCTCAATCTGAAGTTTTCTCAGGCTTTGATTTAAAAAAAGATGCAATTTTAAGCAGCATCTTTGGGGAATAAAATCTGAAAAATTATAAAACTTTGAAGGTGTTCAGTCTTTGTTATTGTTCAGATTTTGTTAAAACAATTTTTTCTGTGAAAATTTCTTTGAAGATTTTTATTGTGGTAAAATATACACAGCATAAAATTGACCTCTTAAACATTTGTTTTGTAAGTTTAGTGACTTTAAGTACATTCATGTTGTGCAACCATCACTGCCATTGCTCTCTAGAACATTTCCCTCATCACAAATGAGAACTCTGTACTAATTATATGGTAACTGCCAATTACCCCTTGCCTGTAGCCCTTGGTAACCATTATTCTACTTTATTTCTCTAATAATTTGGCTATTCTAGATACCTCATTTAAGTAGAAACATAATAATATTTGTCTTTTTGTGTCTGGCTTATTTCACGTTGCATAATGTCTTCAAGGCTCATCCATGCTGTAGTATGGATCACAATTTCCTTCCTTTTTTAAGACTGTATAATGTTCCATTGTAAGTATATACCACATTTTGTTAATCCAGTCATATGTCGATGGACCTTTTGGATATTTTGATAATGCTGCTATGAAAACTGGTGTACCAATATCTATTTGAGTCCCTACTTAAAATCATTTTAATCACCTTCTAGATTAGGTTCTGCATTCTTCACTGAACATTATTTGTATACATATCTTTTTGAATCTGTGTTGACCACAGACATGATTAAATAGCTGTAGTGTATTAGTTTTCAAGGTAGTTATTCTTAATTTTGAAAATTACAATTAAATTTAATTAAAATTTTTAATGAAATTAAGTTAAATTAAAATTTTAGATTGATTAAAAAATAATTTTGGTAGTTCCCATGAATTTTGAGAAACTAATAAAAGCTTCAGACCTTCTACCCCTTTAATAAACATATGTACACAAAAATCTATAAACAATTTGGCGAGTTCATGGATCCCTTCAGGTTTTTCTTTTTTATTAGTTTCAGAGGTAGAATTTAGTGATTCATCAGTTGCATATAACACCCAGTGCTCATTACATCAAATGCCTTCCTTAATGCCTATCACCCAGTTACCCCATACCCCCCCACCTCCCCTCCAGCAACCCTCAGTTTGTTTCCTAATGTTAAGAGTCTCTTATGGTTTGTCTCCCTCTCTGATTTTGTCTTGTTTTATTTTCTCCTCTCTTCCCCTATGATCCTTTGTTTTGTCTCTTAAATTCCACATATGAGTGAATTCATATGGTATTTGTCTTTCTCTGACTGACTTATTTCACTTTGCATAATACCCTCTAGTTCCATCCATGTCGTTGCAAATGGCAAGATTTCCTTTTTTTGATGGCTGAGTAGTATTCCATTGTGTATATATACCACATCTTCTTTATCCATTCATCTGTCGATGGACATCTGGGCTCTTTCCATATTTTGGCCATTGTGGACATTGCTACTATAAACATTGGGGTGCAGGTGCCCCTTCGAATCACTATGTTTGTATACTTTGGATAAATACCCAGTAGTGCAATTGCTGGGTCATAAGGTAGCTCTATTTTCAACTTTTTGAAGAACCTCCATCTTGTTTTCCAAAGTGGCTGCACCAGCTTGCATTCCCACCAACAGTGTAGGAGAGTTCCCCTTTCTCCACATCCTCACCAACATCTGTCTGTTTCCTGAGTTGTTAATTTTAGCCATTCTGACTGGTGTGAGGTGGTATCTCATTGTGGTTTTGATTTGTATTTCCCTGATGTCGAGTGATGTTGAGCATTTTTTCATGTGTCTGTTGGCCATTTTTATGTCTTCTTTTGGATCCCTTCAGTTTTATCCTTAGTTTCCAGGTTTAAGTCTAGAGTTTCTTCCAATATTCCCCAATCACAGGTATTTCTGAGGCTTTGAAACAGCGTATTAATTCTTTACCTTAGGAATAGAGCTTGACTAGATGTCTGCAAATAGGGAAAACACATGTTTGAGTTATTATTTCTGACCTGATGCCCATTTCAGTGCATTGTAACATTTGAACCATTTATTAACTCCTTGTTTGGACACACTTCCCCATCTTGTTCATTTATTTACTACTTTAATAAAGAAATGATATCAGACTGAAGAAGCAAAGATTTTCAATATTCACATATACTACTGCTTCAACCAATATCTGGCGTTATAATTGGGTTATTGATAGAGGTTGGAAAAATATTAAGAAGCATGAGAGAGTAAGTCTAGATAGTCTTGAAGAGACTATTGATAGAAATGTGGATGTTAAGAACTCTGTTGCAATATATAAAAATATCAAATCATTATGTTTTATACCTGAAGCTAATGTAATGTTACATGTCATTTGTGTCTTAATAAAAAATATAAGAACTCTGCTAATGAGGACTAAGAAGGAAGTAAGGAGCATGGTAGAGAAAATCTGTATTGTCTGAGACAATATGTAAATCATCATAAACACACTTCTGGTAAAAATATAGATGGTAAGGACTTCTTGCTTCTTATAGTAAAATGTGAGAGGAAAGAGATAAATTGAAGGGAGAACCATTAAGCATAAAGAAATGAAGACTTCATGATTTGGGAAATTCTCAGCCTATCCAGATTACAAAAGATTCTAAAATTAGGGGATTTGCTGCCAGGAAAGAGAAAACCAGTGGTGTGGCTGGATAACCTCTTGCTCTTGCCTCTGAATAGGTCAGAATATTCAGTCTCACAGAGCTCTTTAAATATTGGGTGTGTGAATCATGAGTCCCCTCAGCCCTGTTGGCTGAAGCCAAAAGTAGAGGTGAAATTCTTTTTAAAGGTCTGTGTAGCAGCTCTTGTCTAGCAGAGTGAATTCCCATGATATACCCAGAAGATCCATAAGGTACTTGAGAATTTTATACTGGATAAATACTGCCAATCTGGACCAAAAGGACAGCGAAAGAGTAACATGAAAGAAGGTAATTGAACTCAGAAACACGCTCATAAACTATTTAGCTGAGAACTCATGCTACCTTTCATGAAGAATAAATGAAAAGTCTGAGTGTGAAGCAGTGAGTACAAAGGGTAGAACTTCAAGCTTACAGTGCTGAGCTTCAAGTCACAGCAGGTTATTTCCAGTTTTTAAAACCTAACATGGTCTGCCCAGTTGGATGTCAACATTTCTTAGGACCAGAAGTTCATATTTTCCTTCCATTTTGTTCCACTTTGAATGATAATATCTGTAACTGGTATCTTAATGTTTCTTGGAAGCAGATAAACTTGTTTCCTAGTTTTCAGAGGTCCACAGATGGATCGTATCCAGACTGTCCCACCTATACTTTATTGAATTATTTGGATAATATAATTTGGGACATTCAAGCTAATGACATTTAGATGAAATTTTGAACTATGAGTTGGTGATGTGATGGTTTGAGACTTATGGGAATGTTGGGATGGAGTGATTATATTTTGTATGTGATATGGACATGAGTGTTTGAGGTCCAGAGAGCAGAACATGTTGGTAGAAGATAATGTCCCCACCCAAAGATATGCTCTAACCTTTAGAACCAATGAATATACTGCCTTACATGGCAAAGGAACTTTGCAGACGTGATTCACATAAGGATTTTGAGATGGGAAGATTGTCTTGGATTATCCATTTGGGCTCTATATAGTTCCAAGAGTCCTTCTAAAAAGAAAGAGATGACTGGGGATGTGGGAGGGATATGGGGTCACTGGGTGATGGGCATTAAGGAGGGCACTTGATGTAATGAGCAGTGGGTGTCATATGCAACTGATGAATCACTAAACTCTGCCTCTGAAACTAATAATACACTATATGTTAATTAGCTGATTTAAAAAAAAAAGAGAGATGACAGGAGAGTAAGAGAAGGAAACGTGATAATGGAAGGAAAGTCAAATAATGGATGATGCCATTGTCAGTTAAAAGGAGGCCATGAACCAAGGAATGAAGACAATCACTAAAAGATGGAAAAGGCAAGAAAATGTCTTTCAGAGCCTCCAAAAGGAATGCTGGCCTGCCCACAACTTGCTCTTGTCCCAGTGAGACCCACTTTGGACTTCTGATCTCCAGAATTATAAGATAATAAGTTTGTTCTGTTTTAAGCAACTAAGTTTGTAGTCATTTACTACAGCAGCAATTGGAGACTAATACCTCTATCAACAGGTGATCTAGAGAACTCCAGGAAGCCTGGGAAGAGGTTGCTGAAGCCTTTATAATGAATGCAAATGTGGGGGGCACTAATGCCAGTGCGTATTGTATTGCAGTTTGGACAGATTCTAGATCTTTGTTATTTGGCCTTATTCAAAGTGGGCTGATTTTCAAAAATGAGTATAAATGGATTTAAGGAAAATGTATAAATCGGAAATATATTGCCTCCAGATTGCAAAAAGGCTTAAAAGTTGTTGGACTTGTTGAGATATTGTGGTGTTATGAGTCAATAGTTATTTCTTTTTTTTTTTTAATAAAGATTTGGTTCATTTATTTGAGAGAGAGAGAGAGATAACACACAAGCGGTGGGAGGGGCAGAAGGAGAGGGAGATGAAGAAGTAGACTCCTCACTCAAAGGGGAGCCCAACTTGGGGCTCAATTCCCAGGGCCCTGAGATCATGACCTGAGCCAGAGTCAGACACTTAACCGACTGAGCCACCCAGGTGGCCAATAGTTGTTTCTTGATAGTGTCATGGAAAGAGAGGCCTTAACTGATCAAATAATTCCTAGGAATTTAACTGAGGTCCTAGGCCTTGAGCTTTGTGTGGGGCAATGGCACATCCTTTTCTGTGCACTCCTGTGGGAATGTTTCTCTGTCCTGAATAAGTATATCAAATCAATCTCCTTAGAGTGGGATATTTTCAATATAATGTCCTACCTGGGCTCCTGGTGAAAGTTGGATGTAGTTAAGATCTTGACAATAAAATTGTGGCCAATGGTAGGACTGTTGAAATACCCCATGGATAACTAGTTAAAGGTGCACTGTGTCCTTCCCAAAGTGAAGGCAAACTGACACTGAGAGTCTGTTGACATAGGTACTGAAGAATGTACTAGCCAAATCTATGATTGCAAAGTATTTGCCAGTACATACTTGGATAGCAGTACTTTCACTAAGATTGGGCTTGGTAGTTTCAATGTGTAAGACTGTGCATTAATCTATCCCCAGTTTATACACATTTGATCGGATGTTATGACTGATGAAAGCATACATGTTTTTTTTTTTTTAAAGATTTTATTTATTTATTTATTTGAGAGAGAGAATGAGAGAGAGAGAAAGCATGAGGAGGGAGGGTCAGAGGGAGAAGCAGACTCCCCGCTGAGCAGGGAGCCCGATGTGGGACTCGATCCCGGGACTCCAGGATCATGACCTGAGCCGAAGGCAGTCGCTTAACCAACTGAGCCACCCAGGCGCCCGAAAGCATACATGTTTAAGAGAGTATGGAATATTTATTACTCAAATAATAAGGCTTTTTTTTTTTTTTTTTAAGAAGAGTAGGACAGGCTCCTAAGTAAATCTGAAAAATGGCTTTCCAGAGGAGGGAGGGATGACTAGTTTGAGTTTTTTTATTGTGGGTAGAAAGTTGAGATGTGTTGAGGGTTCCCCCTCATTGGTCTTCACTTGCATGGTTTGAAACTTCCACTGTGGCCAAGGGTAGGAGCATGTTGACTTTCTTAATAGTTTGCCCAAGTGAAGCACTGAAGAGAGAGTGGAAGATAGGGCTTGAAAACTGTCAGGAGTCAAACATCAGAAATGGACTCAGACTTTTCATTACACATGGATATGTGGGAGAAGTCATGCTGGTAAGTAGAGGTACAGAGGTCTACTATTTTATATAAGCTTTTTAGTACTTTTTTGTACTTTTTACTGAATCAAAAAACTATTTGGACTTATCACTCTAAATAATGAAAATGAGCTTTTCTAAAACAGAAAGAGCAGAGGCTCTGGAATCAAACAGACTTTATCACTTCCTATGTGTGCAATTTTGACAAATTATCTTAATTTGCTTAAGGTAATTACCTTTGTATCTTCAGTTACCTTTGTTTTCTCACCTGTAAAATGAGAGAAATAGCTATACCTTATGGAAGCTTTTTTAAAAATTTTTTTGAAGATTTTATTTATTTATTTATTTTTGAGAGAGCGTGAGAGAGAAAGCACAAGCATGGGGGAGGGGTAGAGGGAGAGGGCGAAGGAGGCTCCCTGTTGAGCAGGGATCCAGATGTGGGGCTTGATCCCAGGAAGCTTCCAGGGCACCTGGGTGGCTCAGTCAGTTAAGCATCTGACTCTTGATTTCACCTCAGGTCACGATCTCAGGGTCCTGAGATGGAGCCCCTCAGTGGTCTCTGCGCCCAGCAGAGTCTGCTTGAAATTCTCTTCCCCCTCACCCTCTCCCTCTGCCCCTTCCCTCACTCACATGTGCTCTCTCTCTCTCTCAAATAAATAAATCTTAAAAAAAAACATAAATAGGAGCCTCCATAACTTTAAATTGAGAAGCACTCCTTAATCAGTGTAAGGTTCTCAATACATGTTATCATTTTATAAGATTGAATGAACGAGAATGCAACCAAACCACATAAAAATAGTTCAAAAGGCAAACATTCAAATAAATATAAAATTACTTGAGCAAACAAATATTGATCTTATCACACTAATGTCAATCCATGTTTTGTGACATACTTAACATTTTTAACCCATGGGTGTTTTTTAGATTTTAAAGAGAAGGAAAAATCATACCAAGTTATTTCTTGGCTTCCACCTGAAGATTATAACAAAGGATTGAAGGAGAATTTTGATTTTTTTATAGAAGAAGCTTTGGGTGACAGGTAATTGTTATTTTTTATTATTTGAACCAAAGAGTCACGATTTTAGTGATAGAGATGAATGGATGGATGGATGGATGGATGGACTGAAGACATAGAAAGGGACGGATGGATGATGGGTGGGTGGATGAAGGGATACATGATGAGTGGATGGTTGGGGAAACAAGTATTCACACCAAATTATCCAGTTCAGTCACTGGAGATTCTTCTTTGCTCTGCAGTGTCCCTGTTCCATGGATGGATTTCTGTAGAAAGTAGAGGCTGTTCCTTCTGGGACGTCCTTTCAACACTTCCCTTACATCTTTGCTTATAACCTCCCCAACACAGAAGTATGGGTACCTCAACCTATCACTGTTGGTAGGGAAATGAAAGTGACCTTTTTCCACTTATTTTTCCTTCTTTTCTTCACATATATTCTCTTCATGGTGGGGCAGTCTTATGAACGTTGATTTTGTAGTAGTTGAACATCTGGTCATGTAAAGTCCTTTAAAAAAAAAAAGATTTATATGCTGGGGCAACCCAGAGAGAGAGAGAGAGGAAGAGAGAGAGAGAGAGAGAGCGAGTGAGCAGAAGTGGGGGGAGGGGCAGAGTAAGAGCCAGAGAGACAGAGAAGGAGATAATCTCAAGCAGACTCCCTGCTGAGCATGGAGCCCGATGGAGGGCTCAATCTCACAACGCTGAGACCATGACTTGAGCTGAAATCAAGAGCTGGATGCTTTACTGACTGAGCCACCCAGGCACCTGGCCATATAAAGTCCTTGTAAAAAGCCATCAGTCTTATGCAAAATAAGACATGACTCCTTTTGCCTTATCTGAATGGAAAGGAACACATAACTCCTTCGTCTTAGACATAAATGGGGAAAGACAAAAATCCATGCCTATTTTAAATAATCACAGTGGCCTTGCCTTCTTTTTACCTTGAAAATTTTACTCACTAGTCAAGATCCTGCTTACATTTACCTTTTTTCAGAAAGTCTTTTTCCTTAAACTGGGAAGCTACAGTCCCTCCTGTCTAGGTCTGATGTAACCTATTCATTTGATACTTAGTCTATATTATCTTGCACTGTTAGTTATATATTTTAAATACATGCTTTGTCTCTTCTCCCTTAATGTAATATTTTTGGAGACAGGCATAGGTAACCATGCATTCTTAAACATTTTCTTCTATTTGTTAGCTTAATTTTAAATATGATTAATATAATATATCCTAGGAATTTTTACAGCACTCCTGAAATTATCTAAAATATCTGACAATCACACTCCTTTGTTACATGAAATCTTCAAAAATACACAGCCAAGGATGATTTTTGCCAATTACTTCCGTTGTATGACTTGAAGTTGTTCCTAAATATCAGGCAGAGATCTGCATATTGTTAATAAGTTCTTCGCTTCTGGTCCTTCTCTACCCGGGGTGTGATGGTACAGTAGTGTACAATTACAGGGTGCCAGGGAATTGATTCTCTTGGTCCTCCATGTAGCCAGCAGGCCACTTGTGACCTCTGATACCTTAAAGTGCAGGTGGACATTCTTATCTATTTCCCCATAGGTGTACAAACAGGAAGGAAACAGAGTCATAATCTATACAGGCAGTGATGGGAGAGCCTTGTAAGGAGATAGGTCCCTGGAATATGCCCATGGGCAAAGTCTTAATTACATGTTAGTACTCTTTATCACTATCTTCTCTGGACATGTCAATCTGCATTGAAGTAAAAAAGCTAATAATATGTTTATTATTAACAAGACCTTGCTTTGCTTTGCTTTTCCTTTCTCTATTTTCTCTTATTTTCTCTTCTTTTTTTTTCTTCTCTTCTCTTCTTTCTTTCATTGCCAAACTTGTGGGCATAGAAAGGTGAAATTCCCATCTTAGCTGAGTTTTGAGTTCTAATGTGATAAAATAGTCCCTTGGGTGAGGTGATCTATCACATTTAGAATACACAGTGATTTTTTTTTCAGATGTAGTATTCTATAATTTATCAGTTGTGTATAACACCCAGTGCTCATCACATCACATGCCTTAGAATACACAGTGATTTTTAAAAAAAGCTTATATGATCGATATTTATGGAACTGTGTCATCAAGTGACTTCCACAGTTTGGCTGAGTAAACAAGAAAATCACTCATAAAAAGTCAGTATGTAAAAGAAAGGTAATGAGAACATTACAGAATTTATCATGTAGAAAGAGTTCTATGAGATTTGCTATGGTCAGAGAAGGTTCCCAGAGCAGAAGGTCCAACAGTGACAATTTGTCTTCAGTTAACATAATTCAGTTGTGCTCCTGGATTTCAAGAATTAAGAACTCAAAGTCATAGTTTTTTGAATAAAGTGGCATAGAGAGTGCTTGGGATTTGGATGAGAGAGGGAGGGGGAGGGGAGGAAGGGAACACTCTCCAGAGCAGAACATGTTCTCAGAGTTAACTGAGAAGAGGGTATTTATGGACAGTGCTAGAATAGGTACACTGCTGCTAGATGTGGTCTTGCTCACCTGCAGTATTTTCTTTGTAGACCAAGGTTCCTTTATGTATTGTGAAACTAACAGCTCCGGTGAATATTCACCATTCTTCTTTTCTTTCTTACAGATACACATTTGGAAAGTTCTTAAGCTTTATGCAACAACTGGGGCTTCAGTGCAGTCATTTTCTAAGGAGAAAGGATATCATGGACACCTTAAAGAATGAGAACTTTGACCTCGTGATAGTTGAAAATTTTGACTACTGTCCTTTCCTGGTTGCTGAGAAGCTTGGAAAACCATTTGTGTCCATTCTCTCTTCCTCGTTCGGCACTCTAGATATTGGACTGCCAAACCCCCTGTCTTATGTGCCAGTATCCCGTTCCTTCCTAAATGACCACATGGACTTCTGGGGTCGAGTGAAGAATTTTCTGATGTTCTTTGATTTCTCCATAAGACAATGGCAAATCCAGTCTACATATGACAACACCATCAGGGAACATTTCCCAGAAGGCTCTAGGCCAGTTTTGTCTCATCTTCTAAAGAAAGCAGAGCTGTGGTTTGTTAACTCTGACTTTGCCCTTGAATTTGCTCGGCCCCTGTTTCCCAACACTGTGTATGTTGGAGGCTTAATGGCCAGAGCTGTTAAACCAGTGCCACAAGTAAGTGATTAGTACTCAATATGGACTTCCTGCAGAGCTCTGCCGTGCAGAGTTGGTGGCTCCCATGCCAGTGAGAACTGGGACAGAGTAGAGCGAGGCAAGTGCACCTAAGACATGGTTTTTAAGGAAGACTCACTTTCAGGGTCATGCAATTATAGTGTTAGGACTGAATAACCCTGAGACTGAGGACCTCCTTACATAGTATACCCAGGGTCCTCTCCGGTTCTGGCGCTGGTGGGATAAGCTTTTCATTTTTTTTTTTTTTTTCGGTAATCTCTAAACCCCACAAGGGGCTCAAACTCACAACACGAAGGTTGAGAGTTGCATGCTCTTTCCACTGAGCCATCCAGGTGCCCTGGGATAAGCCTTTTAATAAGTTAATATTTTCATGTGCATTTTGTATGATCATATGTATAGTAACTGTGGGGCAAGCATCCGTTACGTGTGAGAATTGTTGAAGAGATGAGTTAGTCACAGTGAAACACACAACACTGTGTAACCAAGGTGGGACTGTGTGGACCGACAGTAAGAACTGTGGGCATCATCACCAGCATCCCCAGCCTGTAGAGCCCTAGTTCCTGATTCCACATAGGCCTTCTGATTTGATTGATCTGGGGTCAGTCCTGGGCATTATAAATTGTGAAAGCTGCCGAGCTGGTTTGAAGGCATAAACTCAGAACTACTGCAGTAGAAGTTTTTAAAGGGAGGGGAGCTAAGATGAGTTGATTTCCTGTTGCTTATCAGCACTGGGTTGCCATTTTATGGAATTTATCTTATTTAATATCTTGCCACCTGGAGGGAAGTATGATGATCTCCATTTTTATAAACGAGGAGACAGAGACTCGGCATGAGTGACTTTCCCAGTGCCATTCATTTCAGAGTGAGGGAGACTTGATTTGGCCTGGGTCTTCCAGGCCCCCAAGCGTCTACCCTTCATCGACTGACCTTGAAGTGAGTAAGCAGGGAGAGTTGGAGAATGATCCATGGGCTAGATGGGCTTTGAGTTGATGGCAGGATTTTTTATGGATGGAGCTAGGGAGGAAAGGAGTTCCAGTTGGAGAGAACAAATAGCTCAAAGTGTCAAAGTAAAAGTAAGACAGGCATGACTCTGGGTTCCTTTGGTGACTCTAGCTAGACTGGACCAGAAGATTCAATTCAAATATAGTCAGGCCAGATTGCAGGAGACTTTACTTGATAGGAAGGTGGGTTAGGCCTTGGTTATAGGGTAGGGGGAGGGGATGGTTAAGCAGGAGCATAATGGAAGTAAGGGTTGTAATGGCTGTGAGAAAAAGAGGCTTTTTTCAAAAAATTTTCTCTATATTTTCCAGTTTTTACATAGTGTCTCATGTGGCTTTTTTAATTAAAAAGAACAACAAAGCTGTAGTCAAAGTGGTCCTCTGAGATGGTAAATCAAGCAGTGTTATGCTGGGTGGAATCATTCCAAGGATGAGGGTCTAGAAGCTGGGGAAGGGGGGTTCTAGTAGTCCAGAGTCAGGGTCTGAAGAAATACTTGAAGCAAGAATTGACCAAAACTGTGTTAAAGCCAAGATTACAACATTAAATCCCAACCTTCCTTAAGTATTGCCCGAGGACTTTAAAAAATAAACTGCCCAAGTTTGGAGTTAGGACTGGGCACTACCATTTTTTGTCTTCTTTTTTTTTTTCCAAAGATTTTATTTGTTTATTCATGAGAGACAGAGAGAGAGAGAGAGAGAGGCAGAGGGAGAAGCAGACTCCCAAGCAGCAGGGAGCCCGATGCGGGACTCGATCCCAGGACCCTGGGACCATGACCCGAGCTGAAGGCAGACGTCCAGCCATCTGAGCCACCCAGGCGCCCCTATTTTTTGTCTTCTTATGTGGATATAATTTGCAGTCGTGTGGGTGAGCCACTGAGGTAGAAGATGAATTACAAAGATCAGTTAATAAGAATATCACAATGTATCAGAGCAAAGCACTGTACGTGGTACAGAGTGTGAGTGGTCAGGAGCCTTTCTCCATTTCTTCCGCTTCTTATGCTAGAGGCCTTCTCCCAACTTCTCCAATGTAGCCTCAGATGTAGCACCTCCCTCTGCCGGACCCTAACACCCCACCAGTATTCTTCCTATACTACCATTTTCCGGTGGCCTTGGAAAATTCCCAAGTGACCATGTCTCCACTGACCTATGATGAGCAGAGGGTCTAGGATGGCCCTGACATCAGGATTTTAAAGAAGAAAGATATTCCCACCAACACCATGGGCATAAGCACCATGCACAGGGTACTGAGCTGTGCCGGGGGCTGTTTGCTCAGAGAAGGGTAAGAGAGTGTGCAGTAAATATCTGGCTTTCATTTCATGGCTGTCTAGGCTTTCATGAACAACTTTGCTCACCTCCTTTCCTTTCTTACCTTTCTCCAGGAATTTGAGAATTTCATCACCAAGTTTGGAGACTCTGGTTTTGTCCTTGTGGCCCTGGGCTCCATGGTGAGCAACTTTCAAGCCCAGGAACTTCTCAGGGAGATGAACAGTGCCTTTGCTCATCTCTCTCAAGGGGTTATATGGAAATATAAGCCTTCTCATTGGCCCAAAGACATCAGATTGTCAGCAAATGTGAAAATTGTGAACTGGCTTCCTCAGAATGATCTCCTGGGTAAGGACTGCCCAGGTCTGCTTCACCCTTGTCATTTACATATTTTTAGAACTCATCAGGCTCTGACCTCTAGTAGGGCAATCCCATTTGCACTAGAAGGAGCTGCTAATAGCTAAAGGTAAGTCTGCAGAAGGCAGGAACAGAGCAGCCAGCTGGAGTTCTTGGGACATCAGACCCTACTTCTAATGAGATCAGTGCCCAAACAGCCATCTCCCCTTCATTGTTTTCTATCCCAGGCCAGATGTCCGCAGACATCAAAGACACCTTGACCTACTGCATTTGGTCTTGAACAGGGTCACCCAAACACAATCTGAAACAACCTATGGATTCCAAAGAAAACATACCGGAAGGATGTTGCCACTGTATTCAGTGGCTTCAAGAGTAACTGTTCATCCACATGCACTTACATGTATATATATACACCCACTCCTCCCACAAACACATCTTTCTTAGTTATTAAGGTGGGAGCAATTCATACCTTCACAGCATTGATGCCAATAGTATCTTCAGGATGTGCCAAAATCCCTGAGCGCCAAGATGAAAACCTCATAATCAGTTATTTGGTCTATTTTGTCTCTGGAACCAGAGAGTTCCCTCACCACCACCACCCCCCGATAGGTTCTCTTTGTGCCCAGTGCTGCTTTTTACAGACCACTTACTCCCATAGCCACTGACAGAATCAAAGGCTCATGATCAAGATAATGACTCAAAATAACCTGGGGAATTGAAGGAACAGATTCCTGGCTCCTCTTCTGCAAATTTAATTCTTTTAAGTCTGGAGTGGGGCACATGGTGCTCCTTTCAAAGAAGAGACAAGGAGATTTTGATGTGCATCCCAGTTGAGTGACACAGGCTAAGACAAACTCTTCATGAATTTTCAACAATAATCTTAGGTAGCTTTAAATAGGATGGGATGGAAATGCTGGAAATGGAAATACTCAAGTGTAGGGCTAGTCTCTGCTTTCAAGGGGCTAATCATGTATTTGAGGAGATAATGCATATAGTATAAATTTTGTGATTGCCACATGAGTTATGATGCCAGTGAATGTGTAAGGAATTCAGGGAAGAGGGAAATAAGTTGGCAGGTGAAAAAAGAGTGCTCAAGACAAAGAGAAAGAGATAGAGACAGAGAGACACAATGAGAAAATAGAGATGAGCGAAACAAAGGGAGTGACTAGGATGTTAGAGAGAAAGATGGATGGGTGGATGGACAGAGATATGTGCCTTGCTTAGGAGTATTGTTTAGAGAGTCCCCAGGGTCTGAGTCTTAGCTGGGTTCTGGCTAGGGCAAGGAATTTTCATAAAAAGTCAGGTTTGGAATCCTGTATGTTAGTAACATGCACCTTGGATGTGTCCCAAGCAAAATATCTTTATAATGGCTCCAACAGACTTTGAAATTTCCTTGGTATTTTCTTCTACCCTTCCTGTTTTCCATGGTTTTCTGAAACTTTTCATTCTGAAATTTGTCAATCTGAAATATTCTGCTCTATTTCTTAATTGAAACAGCTCATCCACACATCCGTCTTTTTGTCACCCATGGTGGGATGAATAGCATAATGGAGGCCATCGAACATGGTGTACCCATGGTAGGGATTCCCCTTTTTGGAGACCAGCCTGAAAACCTGAACCACGTAGAAGGCAAAAAGTTTGGTGTCTCTATCCAGCTAAAGCAGATCAAGGCAGAGACATTGGCTCTGAAGATGAAGCAAGTCATAGAAGACAAGAGGTATGAAGCTCTCTGGGCTTGTGGTCACTTAGACTGAATGAAGACATCAAACACAAAGGGCACTGTGTGCCACTTTTTTGCAATAAAAGCTGAAACATCCGAGACACAGAATAATATGTGGGTGGTGCTTACAGATGATGTGTTTCCTCTGAGAACAAGACTAGGCAATTTGGGTTAGATGTTGAAAACAATTTCTGCCTTAAGTGTTGTGAGGACCCTGACCTACTTACACAGGGTCTCTGAGAGGTCTTATATTTTGGGGGTGCTTATAGTAGAATTCCAACTGAGTCAGGAGGTTGCCTTTCTGTCCCCCAATATGTCAAGTGTTTCCTGCCTCAGGCCTTTTGTCAGTGCTGCTCCCTAGAACATCCTTCCCTTCTCTTCACAGTGCTGACTCCTTCATGACAGTCAGAGTCATCTCCAGTGTCCTCTCCTCAGAGGGGCAGGTGGTCTTTGTCTGACAGGCCTAAATGTGCTCCTCTCCCCCACCTTCTTCAATCATAATTCATTTTTCCTTCTTAACACTTCTCAGGATCAGTAACTAACCCAGTTCTTTCTGTCTTAATTTATTGTGTGTCCCTTACACTAGAAAGTAGAGAGTTAGCTCCTCTGGACAGCCAAGTGTGTCTCTTGTTTTCCCTGGTGTTCCCGGGGCCTAGCACAGGGCCTGCTAAAGTAAGTTTGGATGAATTTCCATTAAGTGAGTCAATAAAAGGGCCTATGTTTTCTTAGGTAAATTCCCATCTAGTACAATGATCTCATATGAAGAGAAAAATTTATTCTCTCTACCTTATAAATAAGAAGGACTGTATAACTTAAAGATTCAAGGGAAAGCAGGTACTCAGACCTCAAGACTTATATTACCTTGCACAAAGGAGACCCAAATAAGTTCTTGTTAGATGACTGAAAGTCCCCACATAGCTTATGATTCTTAACCCTAGAAAAGTTGTAAGCTCCAGGGGTCAGATAACCTCAGACATTTCATTATGTTTGGTATCTCATGAAGAGCAAATGGTCACTTTCTGAAGAATGAGTTTGTGAATTTCATTGGCTATTCAATGACCTAGATCTGAAATGTCCATAATTTGCTAGCCCTATGATGGTGTCATTTGGGCTGGGATGGTCCCTACGCATTGCACATCAGGGCTTGGTATATAATTTGTGGGGCCCAAAGTAAAATGGAAATGTGAAGCCCATTGTTATAAAATTTAAGAATTTCAAGAAAATGACAGTAGAGAATTAAAGCAAGCATAGGACCTGTCTAAGTATAGGGTCTTGTGCAAATGTGTGGGCTGCAGCCCATGAAGCCAGTGCTGGCCAATATGATGCTCTGAAGAGGCAGTAAGTACGGGCCTTGTCCTGGGCCCCAGTCTCCAGAGTCATGTTTGCCATCTAGCCCAGACACCAGCACAAAGTAGCTGCTTATTATACATATAATTATTTATAGTATGTGATAAGCCTCCTTGGGTAGAGACTAGCCCTTATAGACTTAGTCAGTTTTTATAGATTAGCACTTTTAGCACTAGGCATGGATCTTTGCATGGAGGGACCAGGTTGAACTTTTCCATGGGACCCAGCTAGACTGTGGCAAGGCCAGGCCAACAACTTTTTTTGAAACTGAGTCTTTTGTGCGTATGGATGAAGGTGTGTGTGTGTGTGATACGAGGTCTCTAAGACTTCTGAGAGCACATGAGTAACACTCTGCCTCTGTCTCTGCCAACAGGTACAAGTCAGCAGCAGTGGCCGCCAGCATCATCAGGCGCTCCCACCCCCTGACCCCTGCTCAGAGGCTGGTGGGCTGGATCGACCACATCCTCCAGACTGGGGGTGCAGCACACCTCAAGCCCCATGGCCTGCAGCAGCCGTGGCATGAGCGGTACCTGCTGGATGTCTTCTTGTTCCTGCTGCTGGTCACCCTGGGCACCCTGTGGCTCTGTGGGAAGCTGCTGGGCATGGTGGCCAGGTGGCTGTGTGGGGCCAGGAAGCTGAAGAAGGCCTGATGGAGGTGCAGCCTGGACAGGTGTTTGGGGAGCCACTGGCTTTCCCCTAGCACAGAACACCCCTGGTGTCTTCCCCATATTGGCACTTGATGTGGCACACAAATTGTGAATTGTGTTTCACTATTTTCTGCCTCTGTTTAGAAATTCTTGTGAAGCACTCTTGGGGGTCTTTCAAAAAAATTGTGGTAATATACATCACATGAAATTGACCATTTTAGCCATTAAGTAGAGAGTTTAGTGGCATTAAGTACATTCATATTGTGGTTTAAACAATACTACTATCCATCTCCAGAACTTTTCATCTCCCCCAATTAAAACTGCACTGATTAAATAATAACTCCCCATACTACCCCATGCCCCCACCCCTGACTCTTGGCAAGTCCCTGTTCTACTTCTGTGTCTGTGAATTTGATCTCAGGCTTTTTAACTTAACCCTCATCAATGGACCCCTCACTGAGACTCAAACCTTCAGCAGACAGCCCCCACCTTCCTCCCCACTCCCTGTTCCTAGACACAACACCCTGCCTAGTCATCCTGTTGTTCTCTGAAAGGGGGGTATATGCAAAACTAACTTCAAAGGCCAAAGAAGCCATGAGATTGAAGAAAAAGGCAAACAGGTCCAGCTTGATGAGAAATGGTTTATTATGAACAATTATCATATGAGCAGAAGCCTGTCTTGGGCTGCCACAAGATGAGTAGATCTCCGCAACACCATCTCCAGTTAGACCTGCTTTTATGGCCCTGAAGACTGGGCAGTACATACTGGGGGCTACCAGGAGGAGTCATATCCTGAGCAGATCAAGGAAGCTTTGCCTGGAGGGTATACTTAAGGGTGTGTTAAACAAAAGAAAAGAATGGAGGAAGAGGCTGTACTCAAGAAGGCTTTAGGCCACAGAGCAGTTATCGTGGTGGAATTTCTCAAGATGGCCTTAGTCTGGTTCATATACTCGCCATCTCAGAAACTTTTCAGTCTCTCTCCCTCTTTCTGCTTTTTTCACTTTTCATGGTATGACATAAGATATTGGCCTGTTCTTCATTTTGGTCTTTTCTCTTGCACCTCATTTTCACCTCACCTCCAAGCTCAGGAAGCCTGGTCTCTGTCCTTCAGTTAGCCATGTGTGGCCCCTCAGGACTCCACCTGTGGTCTCTGTCCCGAGTCCCTCCTGTGAAGAGCACCCCTTTTGCTGGTTAGACATGGAGCCTGCCTTTGGACCATAGCTCATGCTGTGGTTTTCACTTCCTACAATTCCCTTCTCAAGATTAACACTCTTAAAAATGTAGTCATGGAGACCTCAAGTACCTGGATCTCTGTGTGAGGCTCTGGGGCCTCAGGTCCAGTACTATGGCAGTTCCCAGGATTCTGTTGATTTAAAAAAATCATTAATTTGCCACTATGACCGTAATACTTGAATCACATAAGAAATATAAATGATGATGAAATGAGGGAAATTTGATGAGGAATGGAATTTCAGTTTCAAAATGTCTCCCTACATCTTATTTCCTAATTATAGGGCAAAAAATAGCAACTTTACAGTGGAGAATCTTGGTGAACACCACCTTAAACAAGGGATAGAGTTATCTCTAATGATAGGACCATCTGACATTATGGGCGTCCCATTGTGATTCACTGAGATGGAATCAATACCAGCTTTGTAGTATTCCCACCAAACTCCCTAGTAACCTGAAGTATAATGAGAAACATCAGGCAAACCAAACTTGAGATCCAACATTCAAAATAAGCAGCTTGTACTCTTTAAAATATCAATGACATGAAAGACAAAGAAGGGCTGAGAACCAATCCTCACTATAGGAGATGAATAGACCTGATAACTCCCTGCAATGTGGATCGGCTCCTGCACCAGCAAATTCATATCACAACAGAGGATATTAATCGGACAATTGGAGGGATTGAAATAAGGTTTGTAGATGAAGTAATGTGATTAGATTAATATTAAATGGTGTCTTCCCAATACAGATTATTTTTTTCATTGTGAAGATAGAATGCTTGAACAGATGATAATGGTGAATGTGTATGCATGTAATCACATGGCCTCAAAGACTACATAGCACAAACTGAGAGAGAACTTGAAGGGAAATAATGTAATAATATTGAGAGAGTTTAAAAATCTTTCTAATGAATAATTTGAAACATTTATAAGAATAGAACTTTTTGGTGCCCACCACCCAGTCCTAGTTTGTGATGCCCATTCAGAAAAATAGACTGACCTTTAGAGGTTCAGTGCTTCAGGTCAAGACCTGGCCCTCCAGCGGGGCTTAACACTTAGGGGACATTAGCACTTGTCACCAGTAAATTACTTTCCAAACAAACTCTCTGAGCAATAAATGTAGGTAATTTTCCGTTGGGAATCAGTTTCTGAGATCTTGAGATTGGAACACTAGCAGAGATTTTAAGCAGGTACCTGGGGAAATGGGGCATGGGGATGGCAGTATGCAGTCAAAAGAGCAGTTAGGAGTGGGAAAATTTGGAAAAAGATCCCTAAAATAGAGATGGGTCTGAGTCACTTGGAGGTGGAACTATCTTGGAAGCGTCTTCCTAAGGTCCCTAAATTCCTGGTTCAGAGTATCTTCTCTGTGGAGAGTGTGGTGATTACAGCACAGAGAGGGGTTAAGGACAGCTCGCTAACCCCTCCTTCCCACTGCCCCAGGTTAGGGAGGGTGAGGACAGAATAGCCGGTGGTGCAAGCACTCTGGGAGGAGGAGCAAAGGGCGAGTAGCGACTGAAGAGCTGACAGGCAGGATCCACCTCTTACCTCTTCCAATCCGCCCGCCAGAGCATTTCCTCAACTGCCAACACTGCACGTGTCCCCAGGGCGCACAGGTCGCTGTGCGGGGCTCGCGGCGCGCGGCTGGGCTCCACACTGGTGCAGGAGCGAACATGGCCGGACCGCGGGCGCTGCTGCTAGCCGGCTTCCTTCTGCCGGGGTTCCTGCTCTCAGAAGCCGCCAAAATTCTCACTGTATCCTCACTGGGTGAGTGCTCGGCAGGAGAATCAGACAGAGACGGCTGCATCCCAGGCACCTCAGCCAGGGCTCAGGCAGACAGCCTTGGGTCAGGGGGTCAATCCATGGGGTTTTCCAAACAGGGCTTCGGTCCCAGGCTAGAGGAGGGAGAAGTGGGCAGGGTCCTGTGGCAGAGAGGCGTCCCCACTGCTGGGCTGGGGAAGTCAGTTCTGGAGAAAACAGTTTCTTTTCCTCTCTTTTTATCTGCTCTGGAAGTGATTCCCATTGTGCATAGCTGGGGCCGGAATTTAGATCCAGTGCTGACCTGGAGGTCTTGAGCATCCTACTCCAGGGAAGGTAGGGACTTTCAGAGGTACAGCCTAAAAGTTATGGGGTGTGCAGTAGTTGCCAGTAGAAAGTGGAAGGTGAGGTCAGTTTCAGGCTCTTGGAGGCCAAGGACGGCGGCTCCTGTAGGCAGCAGCACAAACTGGGAATGTCATTAATAAGACACCTGGAGAACTGATGGGGCGAGGAGGGGGCCCCAGGACTATCAAGTTCTTGGGAATCCCCTCTCTCTTTTGCCCTTGCTGCTGGAAGGTTTTGAAGGACAGTGAAGCGGTTAATTCTGCGTGAAGTTGGGTTTATTTCCTTTACTCTTCCCGAAAGGGAACAGAAGGAACAGGAACATTTTCAGGATAAGGAGGCATCATAGGATGGAGTTTCCCCAAGAAGTTTTTGGATCTATTGTGAAAGGATAGGGGGCTCCCAGGATTACTTTTCGATCCCTCTGAATCTGGGGATCCTAGAGCTGGAAGAAACCACAGAGTTCATCTAATTGGGTAGTAAGTGTAGGCATCCGCCTTATTTCCTGACAGGGAACCTGAGGGTCAGGGAAATTAGGGGCCTTTTGCAAGAGCACATCAGACCTCCCTGATGGACACCCTCTGGACTTTACTCACTGTTTCTTACCTCAAACCTGTCCTGTCCCCCAAACTCTACTCTTTACCGTGGGGATTCGTAAAAATCAGTATTTAAAAAACCTTGATTTCTATTTTAAATCTACTTTTTAATGATAGTTAGAAGTAACAGAAAAAAAAGAGCTTTCTCACCTCTTGAAAGCACGTGTCCTCCAGACTCTGAGAGGGAGCAGGTGTGGCTAGAAGCCCCATCTCTGGCCCAGAATGCACTGGGCTCACCAAGACCCTCAGGAATGGCTGCCCCTGCGGGATGGCTTCTCCCCTGTTCCATTTCTTCCATGGGTTGAATGTGAGCCAGAGCAGACAGTCTGAGCAAGTAGGGGTTTGTGTTTTCCATAATCCGTGATATCTCAGTCAGCGCAAGTATAGATATAAAAAGCTAATTTCCACAGATACACACCATTACTGTAGTCCGACATCCCTCTCTGCTGACCCAATCATCATGAGAGCTTCATCTTCCAAATAACCCCCACTTCCCAATGTGGGCAAATTCTATTCCTTAACGCATCAATTCAAGAAAAATGCTCTGTGATATGACATGGTTTTAGACATTGGTGTGATAGAACCTGTACCTCCCCAGATGATCAAGCTTCTGTTTCCTTAGGATCCCAGGATTTTCTTTGGATGGGTGATGTCCCAGTCTCTTGCATAAAGGATCCTGCAGCTCCACTCCTAGGGCCCACAGTTATCCAGAATGCCTTAATTTTGATATTCAGCAAGATGCAGGCCCCAACTGAAGAACCTCCTGCCAAATATATTGGAATCTGAAGGATTTTGGCTCTGAAAAGTGGCTCTAATCCCCTTCTGTTTCCGTGGCTCTTTCTTAGACTGATATTCATGTTCCCATGTTTCTGGCTTCCACGTTAACATAAATTCCAGAGAGAAGGATTCCAGAAATAGCTCTGATTGATTTTCCCACAGAAACCCTTTATTCTCACATACATAGCACTGTGCCAAAATTTCCACTGAATAGTTACTTCTTTAGGACACAGTATCTTCATAAAGCCTGCCTAAATTGCAGCAGGTACTGAGGATCAGGAACTCCTTCAGGCCTAAGCATAGA